GGATGGAACATCTGCCCTGTGAAGTTCAGCCTGGAGAAGAGAAGGCTCCAGGGAAACCTTATTGCAGCCTTTCAGTACTTAAAGGGGGGCTAGAAAAAAGATGGGGACAATCATTTTAGCAGGGCCTGTTGCAACAGGACACAGGATGATGGTTTTAAACTTAATGAGGGTAGATTTAGACAAGGAAGACATCTTTTATGCTGAGGGTTGGTGAAACACTGGCCGAGGTTGCCCAGAGTTTTATGCTGAGGGTTCATGAAACACTGGCCCAGGTTGCCCAGAGAGGTAGTTGATGCCCCATCCCTGGAAACCTTCCAGGTCAGGTTGGGCGGGGCTCTGAGCAAGCTGCTCTAGTTGAAGATGTCCTTGCTCAGTGCAGGGAAGCCTGACCTTTAAACTTCCCTTCCAATGCAAACTGTTCTATGATTTTATGATTCTATGAACATAATTTCTTGTATCCCAAGATGCATCTATATGTGGTTAGGTGTGTTTGATGGAGACAAATTCATTGTATCTGAACACAGGCAAAATTAAATGGAAGTAATTTAACCTCATGTGAGTAACTTAACCATTGCATTTCTGTGAGCTTCGTAGAGAGGCAGACTAGTGAACAGTACAGCAAAAATCATATGCACAATGGCATTCCTAGAACAATAATATGTATTTGTTTATAGGATAATACACTTTAAAGAACCCCAAGCTTCTGTCAATCCCATTCTGTAGGGATGTAACAGCTCAAACATTTTGCTGGCATCTAGCCTGTTTTCAAGGTGGTGTATTGTAGAGAAGTTATTTTCCCACCACTGTTTATTCAAACTTGCAATGTACTATGAAAGCATTATGGTAGCTACTGCAACTGAATTATTGCCATATAACATCTGAGTGTTGCAAATATATCCCTAAACTAGCAGTCAGAGTGACAGATGAATGGTATTTCTTTTACTCCTAGGGGAACAGAAGTGAAACAGAGCATTCACAGCAGGATGCTCTATGCATTCCTTTGTATGTCAGTTCAGATTTCTGATAGGAAGACTTTTTTTCTGGTGGGGGAGGTGGAACTATAGAAAAAAGATTAAAAATCATATTTACAGAATGAGACAGAAATCATTGCTGCAATGGCATTAACTGAAGTTTTAACATAAGGATACTTGATTTTAATAATAATATTTAAATTATAACTTAACAGTAACTTGATTTTAATGATAATAATAATTTGATAGTGCTTCTGATATGAAAATTTATCAGAATTGCCATTACCATTCACAAAATTACAGCCAAACCTGCAGCTAGTTTTACTATGGACAGTATACCTGAGAAGTTCAAAGGAGCTACATAAGGACTCAGACACCCAAAATCACATCTCTACCCAAAATGAAAAGTAAGGAAAAAAGCCAAGATTTTAAATGAGCATGCACCTTGTCCCTACACCAATTCAGCCATACAATTACAGGGATACATAGAATTAGAATAGAGGAATACATGCAATTAGCCATACAGTTACAGGAATACATACAATTACAGCCACATAGTTACAGGAATCCCAACTCTCCCCTCTAAATGATTTTTAAGAGACAAAGAAAAGCAAAATTGCCATCCACTTGAAAGGTTTTATTTCTAGTGGATTCTATCACATAACTGGCAACAGAAGGGAAACTGAATTCCCAAACCACACCAGCTCTGGATATTCCATAAGCTAATCTGTAGAATAAAAAAGGGGTGTTGGGAAGGTCACTGTTAGATTTTATCCTGAAGAGACTGTGAGCTGTTACAAAGATAACTTCTGTGGTCTGGATAGGTCTCCCTTATGAACACAGTTCCATCACATCTATGAACTAGAATAGTTTATTCCCTCTATAACTGCTCTTATCCTGAAGAAAAGCATTTCACTGGTGTTTTACTGCTATCTGAAGAGTTAGGAACTAAATTGTTAGGAAGAGAACCAGAGGTGCTATTTCAGATTTTACTTCATTTTGCTTCCACCAATACAGCTGGCTAGTTTGTACCTATTTAATGCCAGTGTTGAAGACTTTATAATCAGTCATGATGAAAATGTATTGATAACATAGTCATGTACTATGATGAAATAATGTAAATCTTGTTCTTAATTTTGATCTGTATTTTAAGAGTATTTCAATTCTTTTTGCACACTGCTATTACTACAGTTTTAGAGATAGTCCCTTTGATTCAAATTAGAACCACAGGACAGATCAATAAGTTCTATACATAATCCCAGAAGACTGTCCTTTCTTCTCCACATGACAGTGTTAGTGGGTGTTTTTCAGACAAAAGTGTAGAAATCTTTGTTTTCCTTCAGTAAAGTGTCTTGGAGCTTTGCTTCCTCCACGGCACAAATGGAACAGACCTCACAGAACAGCAAGAGACCTCATGAAGTCTTAGCTCTAATTTTATAAAATGCTTTGAAAGAAATGATGATAAACAGTATTTGCTTTTTGTATCATAACTGAAACCATTCTGCTTAACAATCATATCCTGTTTAGCCCATAAGGGCATCAGAAATATATGTTTATCATTGGCTCTCAACAACTTAGCAAGATTTGGCCCAAGGCAAAATGGAACTGAAATCATTTACAGTTGTCCAAACCGAGATAACCACAGATTTCTGGGGTAATTGATACCTAAAAGGAACACTGCCTTTAGATTGCAGTTCATGATTTAAGTGTACTAATTCCTTAAAGAACTCTGTTAGAATTTCTAAAGTGTCTATTGGATTTCCTCCAAAATTTAGCATGGATTAAACAATCCACTGCACAAAGAAAATGTGATATATGAGATTTGTCCATCCACTAACACTCCTCCTTTAGGACTGGATCACATTTCCTACTACCTTTGATTGCCTTCAATCCACCTCAATGCAACAACAAAGTCCCAAACAAAACAAAGCCAAAAATATGTTAAAACATTTTGAATAGAATGTCTCAAGTAATCATTTGTGTTTTATCATTAGTCTTAAAAGTTAGTAAGAAAGAAAATACATAACACTGACTTCACAACTGTATATAGTTCATGGACTTCATAACCGTGTATAGTTTAATTCTAAAATAAGTAGATCTTGCTTTTACCTTCCTTTTTTTAACATGAGAATGTATCAAGAGTTCAGAAAACGTAATAAAGCAGAGCAACAGAGAGAATTACTTATATATATATATATACACATACACACTACAGTTCATAAATTACAGTCTAGTGAGAGAAAAACAAAACATGTAGTCAGATGAAAGATAAATATTTGATTACAGGAACACATTCCTTGACAGATAAACATAGAGTCAGATTTGTCCTTGCCTAGAACAGGGAACTTCATAATTCTAGCAATTTGTGTAGTTTTTCAGACTGATAAAATATATACTGGAATGAGAGAAGGGAATGTAATGACAAGCACATAACCCATTCATTCAGAATAGTGCTGTTTGGTATTTCTGTGTGTAAAAGCTCAAAGAATTCATCTGCCTTTATGCAAAACACAACATTTTGCAGAAATCAATAAGAAGAAAGCGAAGAAAAGAAACAAATCTCTCAGTTTCCAAAACCCAAACACTGGTTGGGAACAACTGTTCTACAACAATGATTCTCAGCTGGGAAGAAATGGGACTTGTTTCTGGCCAAATTCTTAGAAAGAAGGGATTCTTGATTATGTTTTGGGTGATTCTAATAGGGACGACAGGAAAGTAAGACTGGGAAAGTCCCAGTTCTGCAAAGGGGCTCCATTAAGAATTAAAAGTGAGACTTACAATTATGGCAGGATAAAATTATTGTTATTTCTTAGAATTTTTTATGAAATCCTGAAAGTGAAACAAAGCCCTAACAGTTCAAATATTAAATATATAGAGATTACTGAATGCATCAGCCACCTCAGTGTAGAAAAGAAAATCAAACCAAAGTAACCAGCTTCTACCACTGAAAGGGTATAATAAGCACTCTAAAAATAGCAAGCTCCCAACAGCCCAATATACTGTACTATTCACTAAAAAGGATGGAAACTGGCCCAGATACTAGTGTGGAATTGTGAGCATGCGCCTGGCACAATTTTGTTCTTGACAGCCAGTTGCTCACTCAAGACATGAGGAAGAACTGAGCATGGACATGGGCCATGGATTATTCCACCAAAAAGACATGTTAGCCCTGTCCACCTGGAGAAAATTTAGCTACAAAGACACAAGTCAGGCCACAGCACCTGCCTTCAGGGCCAGAGAACTGGCCCTGGCCTAGTTTATTAATTAGCACAGATACAGCCTTTGGATCTTATAAATATGTAAATGACATTCAAGAAGATACTTACTGATAGAGAGGTCATAGGGTTGATAAGGTCTATAAGGCATACTTGCTATGATACAGTATCTTGTGCCAGTATAGATAAACCTCAGTGAAACCAAGTGAAACTGGTATCAAAACTGGTATCAAAATCATCATTTCACAGACTTGCATGTTAACACAGCTACACTGCTTCCTACCTAGCATTTTGAGAGTGATAGACATAATTTTTCAGAAGGACATAGATCAGAAAACTGGACTTGAAAGAAGGATGGAGAGAAGGGCACATGCTAAAGCATGTTTGCACAGAGCATTATAATTTTATCTGTAAGCTATTTTATATGAAAGAGTCCTCAAATTCTATTGAAACAATTTTCTAGTGGGACGAATAATGAAAAAGAAAAAAAAAAATATTGTTAAAAATGTGTGTGAATTGTTTATAAATAGAAGCTTCTTTCTACAGGAAAGAAGTAGAAATACATGGCAGACAGAAAGATGCATAACTACCCTTTTGTAATCTTTCTTCTCAGCATGTGTACTTAGATATCAAGAAACATTTAAGGAAATAGGAAAAATATGGAAATGGAATTCCTTTTGACCATCTGGGCAAAGGGAAAAATGTAACACTGATATAATATGCATCATGAAAAAGGCATCAGACCAGCATGATGTATGAAATATTTCATAGTTTTCTCTGCTGGAGATGTGTATCAGTATAAGACAATAATTACCTCCATCCGCTCTTGCTTGACATCATCAATCTCATCATCTTCAAATATGGCTAAGAGCTCTCCAGTCTGGTCAATGGAGTTGAGAAAGTCTTGAGCAAGCTTCTGCCGTTTGTTGGTGTTATTACTGTTGAGTTTGTCTTCCAAAGGTAAGCAAAGAACAAGAAACTTAAGTTATTTAGCTTCTCCAAACACCAAACAACATCCCCATTAGGGACATATTTAGAACCAGATGCACTATGCAGAAAAGGCTTGTTATTAGTGGCCTCCTCATCCAAGTGGTGCTACCTGACCAAGGTGATGCCACTGCTCTGCTGCAGTAGCACTGCAGTAAAAAAATCATCTTTAGTGTTTTCTAGTATAACTTGGTGGTTTTTTGTAATCTAGAGAAACCTAGTCTGCTGCTCAAATAACATTATTTCTCAGTGAAGGGTCCCCAGTGGACAGAGCTGTAGAAGAAACTGCCTGCCTTTGCCTGCACAAAAACCCCACTGATAGACCAGGATATATAAAGGAAATGTTCTTCCCTGAAAGCACACAGAGCATCTGCATCATCTCCAGCCTAAAGCAAAGTGTAACACAAACGTCAAGATGCAGCTCTTCAGATGATGGACCATGGCTCTACAGTAAAATCTAGAGAACTCTGGCAAGGTGACATCTGTTGTTCTAAACAGAATAGCAGCTAATGAGTATCTAAATTGCTTATGAATACTGTTTATTTCCTTTAAATAGTGACACAGACTTAATTATTAAAATTGCCAAAGCTGTCAGGTAGGAAGCTGTACTGCCAGATTGCTTACACAACACAATACACTTTCAAGTGTGGGCAAATTAAGTCTCAAATGAGTTGACAAAAACTAATCCACAGACTGACTAAGTCAAAGCAAGAAATACAATGTTTACTTAACATCAGTGTGGATGCTCAGAGGAACCAAACACAAGGAATTCATTATAAGAGGAAAAAAAAAAAAAAAAAAAGGGCTCTGAGAATCTGAGAAAGGAAATAAGTTAAATACAAAAGATTGTGTATGGATATTTCTAGACGTTATAGATGTATGGCAAGGGTTAGATTTGCTATGACAGCTTTAACTCAAAATTTTACAAAGGAAACATCAGTTCTCCTATTAATACAAAGCAACAAAATTTTATACTATCAAATTCTATTGCAGAATTTAATATAGTTTTAATTCAAAGAGCTTTTCCTTCAAATGCATTGGTTATAACATCTGTGACTTGCTCATGGAAGAGGGAAACAGAAGTGTTTCCCATTCTTAATATTACAGATTCAAAGTATAATATGTTAAATCACTGAAAACAAACCCAGCTCGTACATTAGTATTGAATGACTTCAGATTATGGGATTTTTTTTTTTTGTAAAACATGTCAAAACCTTCTGATAATAATTTAACAAATGTCCTTTCAGTTGCACATGGTAGCTGCTGCATTTAAACTGAGTATCTGCAGAAATCAATTAGCCCTTTAATCAGCAACAATTTCATTCTCCACGGATTTCTGACATTACTACAGTAATAAGTAAGCAGCCTTACTATCATATGGATGGTAGATGTAAATACTTACATTAGAAGTGTTTCAAACTGAACAGTGGAAATTTTAAACCAGATTACTTGAACTCAATATTTTTGTCTTTAACTATGAAGCAGGACCTTAATACTTTGCATTGAGTTGTTCAGAGCATTAACAAAATATAGAGCCTCTCCCAAATTCAGTATTTTAGTATTTTTTTTTTCTACCTTCAAGGAGGTCATCTTCTTCTAGTCCTTTGACAATTTTAGATTTGTAGTCTCGGAAGAACATGTATTTCAATAGCCTCCTAAGCTTCTTCTATGAGAAAAAATACGTCAATATTAATTAGTATATAAGAATATGTAAAATATTACTCAGTAAAGATAATTTTTACACTGTTCGTAATTTTTGATTCTGCAGAAAAAACATATATAGAAAGTAGATCAAGGTCAGTAGCAATTACACATTAAATATTATTTATTTGATCTCCTAGGTACTTTGCTTGCCAACTTTGAGACAGAAATAGGTTTGACTTGCAGAAATCAGAAATTCAGAAATCAGGATTCTTTTAGGGCCAAAATCTTTGCTTAGTTTGGAATTTCAAATCTACAAATGGATATGTCCATGAACATTGACATACATATCACTGCTTTCAGTATAGTCTTACGGATCATATCAGATAAAGAGATGACAATCAATTTTTACATTTTAGTGTTTTTTAATTTTTACATGGGTTTGGTCATTTGGTTTCACCTATCTAATGAAGAAAGAAAAACAAAGGGGAGAGAAAAGGGGGAGGGAAAGGGGGGAACTAAGGACAAAAATGAGATAAAGTAAGAATAAAGAACGTTGGTAAAAATAGACAATAATTTTTTAATAATTTTGAAATTTAAAGAAGAAAAATTAACTTAATCTTTGTATGGAATTTGTTTTGTTTTCTTTTTTTAATTATTGACTTGCTCTACTTAGTACCCAAAGAAAGCAGGATTATGCCTAAATTTGGAGATTTTAGTGATATAAAGTACAAGAAAAGTATTATAAAGGAAAACCAAAAGACAGCCTAGATGACAATAATTTAATGGTTACACTGTCAAATGTCACATCTACACCCTATATAACAAGAAAATTAGAATGACTGATTTTTAATAAATGGATATAAAGGATAAGGATCATATTTATACCTTTATTAAGAAATTGTTTTGACCTCTAAGGTACATTACCCACTCTATACCTTAGTGAAAAAAATCTATTGATAATTGAAATTACAGAAAAAACTTAGAATGAATTAAAATGTTATAAAATTATTGTACTTTGCACAATACAAATACAATTGCAGAGCAGCTCTACTTTTAAATAAGGCTATTTGTGATGTTGGTAAGCAGCTTACAAAGGAAGGTAAGAAATTTCTGTCTCAGTCCATACCTTATCTTTGCGCATTAAGAACAGGAGATCTTCAGCAGAGATGACTCGAGCTCCTCTCAGCTGAGAAACTTCAGCTGCTTGCTGCAACTATAATAAATTAATAAATTAGGAGGGCTGTTTTAGCTTAAAAAAAAATATTCACTCGGGTTTGTTTTAAATAAGTTCAGATAATATTTTGCAAAATACAAGGCATACACGAAAACACAAGCTGGGACTCTCAAAGGTGTCACTCACTCGGCTCTTGTTAGCCAAGAAGTGAATAACAATTTTATGAAAAGACTGAAAGACTTTTGATGAATCTCAAGAAAAGCTTTTTTGTTTATATTTAAAATGATTGCTTTAAAAAAAGTGCTACATCCCTTTTTTTCCTTCCTTGCACCACATTAGCCCAGAAAATGAACATACAATTCTCTCAGGCAATGTAAAAATGCCAAATTCTTACCGTAGCACTTTATCTGCAACCGTGGAAGGGTGGTTGATCCCTCTCACGATTTTTAAGAATAACAAATATCCATTTTAAACAGCTTACCTAAGTATTTTTTGAAAGAAATTCTACCCCTGCTTGACTTATCATTAGCACAAAACAGACCCACATGAAGAACTTTCCTAGGCATACTCTTATTTCGTTTGAGGGAAAGAAAATGAATTGATAGGAAACACCGACTATATTAAGAAAGTAATTGGAAAAACCTTATTGAGCAGACCAGGCCTTTCACATATGAAAGAGACAAAGATGGGGTTGAGCAACGAATGCCACAAAAACCAAAGGTGGCCAGAGGAGTGTGAAGCAAAGAATTGTCCTCGCCTTCATTGTGACAGGCCCCAAACGCCCCAAATTCTGCTGTAAAGAGCAAAAATGCCTCTGTGTGGGCCTAAGCACATCAGTCTTGGATAAACCTTCAGTAGGTGCAGGAAACTGGGCTAGTTCATACATAAACAGATTATATCAAAACTAGTTCAAGATTAGAAATCAACCTTCTGCAAGCTCATGCTTCTCAAACTACTGGGCTAAGATCCAACTCAAATGCAGCAGAAAAGTCTACAGGATTTGCCACTTTTACCTTGCTAGCCTTTGGTTCTGGGTTAACTGTAGATGATGCTGTAGAGTCAGTGGGATAGAAAGGATGCTTCACAGCATGACATCCACCTTTCCCTCTAAATTCAAAAAACTCTGTCCAAAAGGCAAGTTTTAATTCTAATCTCTTTGCTGTTCTCTTTGTTAACCATACGATGGATGCACTGACAGTGAGCACATTACAAAAGTTATCGAAAGAAGAGGAACCTTAAAAAATTCTTGATACTGAAACTTACACTCACCTGTAACATGATCAGTAAACAGAAATTGAATTTATTTTCAAATATCTCTATATTCTTCTTTCAGAAATGCATTAATGCACCTGAAAATAATTTAAAGAAATCCTATCCTTCAAACTCACACTAGCAATGGTTTCACTCAGTATCACTGGCTGAATAAGTATATTATTAATCTGAGCTCCCATGCTGCTATGACTTGAAATAGGCCTATTCAGAAGTTAAAAAGATCAACAAAAACAGTAGCTGTTTCTAATATCCAAAGAAGGAGGGGCAGGGGGGAAGATTTTCATTTTGGCAAGTGTTCAGTGGGCAAAAGATTCAGTCCATAAATCATAATACTGGACTGCATTAATTTTTTTCCACACTAATCCCACGCATACAAAACGTTAACTGTATCTCGTACGCACAACACAAAACATACTGCAGGAAGAGTTTCAGATTTTCCCCTTGAAACCCTCTCTTGGCCCTTGCAGTCACAGAGACCAGAGAGATTTCAGGAATTCAGAAGTCACAGTAATATAATCTTACTTGAAAAATGTAAGAATGTGAAAAACGATAGTTCTGTTTTTTGGCATAAGCAAAATTGTTTCTTATTCTGATTAGTTTGAGGGCGCACAAGCTACTTAGATTTCTAACATACAATATAAAGAGCTGGATAAAAATAAATTTATCGAGAAGGAGCCAATATTTGTCTCTGGTGTAAATCTATTGCAGTTAATGGATATATGCCAAGGCTGACTTTGGCCCCACTAAGATTAAAAGTGTTACAAAACCTGACCTTAGCAGGGTGATAACACAACACAGCTTCTCCAAATATCCCATGAAACAATGGCAGAAATATCTGACATGAGAGCCTGCTCTAGTTCCCCAACACATATAGGACCACTACTATGATCTTTAAGATCCCTTCCAACCCAAACCGTTCTACGACTCCAGAAGACATTAATTTTCTTAGCCAAAGGTTCAGCTATGCTAATTTCTGTGTATATCCAAAATACTTTATTTTACCAAATTATAAACATGTGACAACATCATTAAAAGCAAAGACTGTAGGCCAGCTGCTTACAGGAATCTCCCAATGAAGTAAGGGGGAGGATGCCAAATTCAAGTCCCATTTGCATTTAAGTAAATCCTGAATAACACTGTTTACTTTAATGGAGTTATTCTGGGTTAAACACAAGATCAAAATCTGGAATAATATTCTCAGTTTCTACCAAAACAATGAAAACTTTATTCTCCTATTGCCTCAACTTTTGCATCTATTTTGTTTTAAGGAATGAACACACAGCATTTAATTACTTTGGCTTAAAGAAAGCAAAATAAGAAAATAAATACTTCCTGTACAGTTATAAAATATGGATTATTTATACAAACAGACCATAATGAGTTTTGCATTGGTACACATATTTACCTGTGAAACCAGGATATACTCAGGTAAATATGTATCCAAGCAATTAAAAAAAAAAAAAATATGCACCATGCAGCCAAGGCTGGGGAGGGAAGATGTATTTATAGTTTTAACACGCACATAATTGACCCTTTCAAACCACAACATGAGTGCTTTGCTATAATTAGTATTATTACAAACTGTCTTATTTGACCATCCCAGAGTTGCCATTAACGTGCAATAAGCCCTGAATCCTTAATTTCCGGAGCTGAAGGCCTTGTTGAGTCATTCCCATGGCTTTCAACGTGATGAAGGGAGATTTCAGGAAGCCATATGAAAGAAAGGTTCCATCTCTGAGCACCTGAGCATTTATCATTCCAGAAAAGCAATTTTCAGCTATATAAACTAAAAGTCAGGAGGTCTTTCACCTTTCATGGCAGTGGAAGTACTGGAGGTTTTCACTTTGTGAGCAGTGGGTCTACTGCCCATGATTCCAGGTGACAGGTGTGGTACAAATGCTGCAATAACTTCTTATAGATGAGATTATTCTATGGCAACAGTGAAGAGATGACAAGAATTTCCCACCATCTCCATCCTCCAGACCTCAGCTATATTCAGCACCAGTCACTGAATTTGGGGTAGCAACAGTTATAACATATTCACCATCTTTTCCTAATTTTTTTCATCATTAAAATTGTTTAGTCCACATTAGAAAATATTTTGGTTTGGATATCCTGAAGAACAGCAAACAAACCAAATCACTGAGATTCTTGGGGAGAAAAAACAAAACAAAACAAAACAAAAAACAAAGCAGGCTAAATTTCCTAAAACCAGCAAACAATATTTGAGACCTTGGAGTCTGAATATATTTTTTTATTAGAGCTAAATTATGAAACCCTAAAAGTTAAGTTTAAATAACGGAAGTGTTGAAATGACTTTAACTATAGGAGCGCAAATAGCTCTGCTAATAATTAGGAGTTTATGAAAAATAAGTGTATTTTACAATTTTTCACATTACAAAGAAGGTAGTATATACAGTAACTATTTTTTAAAGTCTAAGAAGAAATGGCTAGGGAATAATATTTTAAAATGTAATCGCTGGTTTAATGACTTTATGAAGTTAACTCTCTTGGCAGGTTGAACTGAAGTATGTTAACAGTCACCTTACGGCTATTTTCTTTTTGCAACTTCTGCAAATTATAGATTTGTTGAAAGGAGTATTCATTCTCCTGTGACAGAAGCACAGTTACTTCAATGGTACTGTCTGCTTGTTTTTTTTTATTTCATAATTATTTTTTCTTCCGCTACCTCCAAAGTCAACAATCACCAATACTTCTTCCACAAAAACGTCTTGATGGACAAACAGACAAAAAGTTGGACAACAAGCATACTATGTTGTGACATAATCCTTCCAGTGAAATGGCAGGACAGTCAAAATGGTCATGTTTGCATGCCTTGAAACTGCTGAGAGCCAAGAATAATGCTTCAGGAGCTATGATTTTGTTTTCATTGTAGATGAAAATTAGATCATGGTTCACCTGGCAGAGTTTTTTTTTCTGAGGCAGGAAGGTGGTTCTGTCATTAAACATGCATTAAAATGTCCTATTTTTAATCTTTTCTAGATCAAAAGTAAGCAAGTATAAAAATAGCAATAGAATATTCTTAATTTAGATCTAGTACTGTAAATGTATTCCAAACAGAGCATCCCAATACTTTTCTGAAAACAATTTAACTTTGTTTTTCACTTAAATCTTGCTATCTGTCTCACATACAATTAAGGCTGACATCTGAACTTCTAATTGTAACATATATGGGGAAAATATAGAATTTGTTTCCACTAGTCAGCCTAGCAACATGCTTTACACAGTTAGCACCTCCCGGAAGGATAATGACATTAGAGTCCATAAGAGCACTCTAATAGGTGATGATTTAGGATGACCACACAAGGGTTAAACAGTGTGACTAAATCCTCACAAGCTGTCTAAAACATAAACCTTTCATTTGTAGATTAGAAGACAATTTTCTTCTTATTAGGTATGTGTTCTCAAGTCTACTGAAGACCATTTAATGTAACTCCAGATGATTACGTGTGACCTTCAGAAGACAAAGCTCTGCATCCCATTTTGAGGCCTTAGAGAATCATAGAATGGTTTAGGCTGGAAAAGACCTTTAAGATCATCAAGTTCAACTGTTTACCTAACACTGCCAAGCCCACCACTAAACCACATCCCTCAGCACCACATCTACATGTCTTTTAAACACCTCCAGGGACGGTGACTCCACAGCTTCCCTGGGCAGCCTGTTCCAGGGCTTAACAACCCTTTCAGGGAAGAAATCGTTCCTAATGTCCAGTCTAAATGTCACTTGGCACAACTTGAGGTCATTT